ATAGCAGTACAAGTGCAGTAAGTATAACAGTAGAATTCCTCAACAGTTTATCACTTTAACCTTAATGACCTTCTATTTTTCCATGGTGATTAAAAAGCCCATGGTTGTGAGACTTTCAAACCTAAAGACTCATCCCATGTGAAATATACATCTCCATAACTCGTCCTAGCTCTGTGATTGTCAGTGGACAAAAGCGTCCTATAAACATGAACCGATGTCCTGGTCCCATAGTTGGGTTTGTTGTGAGGTTTTGTTCCAGCTTCGCTGGAGGAGAGCAGACAGAGAGAAAACTGTTGTACTGCTCTTGTCCGACAGAAATACATTCGAAGGTCACCAGAGTGCGAGGTCACCGTGACCTCACTTAGCCAGAGGGTGCTGACTTTAAATCGTAATTTAGGGCAAAATTATGAAGTCAGCATTCCCAAAATGAAAATGTATATTAATATTCACATAATGTACACTCAAATGGCATTTCACCAGACTATATTATCTTGACATGATTGGAATATAATGTTCCATTTTTTACGTGACAAGATTCAACCCTCCCTGTATCATTGGGACAAGTTCATGCATTGTGTGGGGATTTGGTTTAATAATTAACCTACATCTGTATCAAAGGACACAACAGCCTGAAATATGATTTTCAAAAACTTTAAACAAATTTTGTTTGGTACATTATACTAGTTTTAGTTGTGTGATATACTTTTTCAACTGGTGTGATACAACAGATCTCTCTGTGTGATATACCAGTTTTAATTGTGTGATATCCTAGTTTTACATGTGGACACACTAGTTTTACATGTGTAATATACTAGTTTTACATGTAATATACTAGTTTTACATGTGTGATAAACTATTTTTACTTGTGTGATATACTAGTTTTACTTGTGTAATATACTAGTTTTACATGTGTAATATACTAGTTTTACATGTAATATACTAGTTTTACATGTGTGATATACTATTTTTACTTTTATACTAGTTTTACATGTGTGATATACTATTTTTACTTGTGTGATATACTAGTTTTACATGTGTAATATACTAGTTTTACATGTGTAATATACTAGTTTTACATGTAATATACTAGTTTTACATGTAATATACTAGTTTTACATGTGTGATATACTAGTTTTACTTGTGTGATATACTAGTTTTACATGTGTAATATACTAGTTTTACATGTGTGATATACTATTTTTACTTGTATGATATACAAGCTCTCTATGTGTGCTATGCTTGTTCTACCTGTGTGATATACTAGTTTAAATTGTAGTAGTAAATGTCATTTTAATTGTGTGATACAGTAGCTCTCCCTGTGTGATCTACTAGTTTTCAACGTGTGATATACTAGGTCTCCTGTGTGATACACTAGGTATGATTGTGTGATATACTAGTTTTCAACGTATGATATACTAGTTTTGATTGTGTGATATACTATCTCTCCCTGTGTGATCTACTAGTTTTCAATGTGTGATATACTAGTTCTCTGAATGAGATATACTAGTTTTCAATGTGTGATATACTATCTCTCCCTGTGTGATATACTAGTTTTCAACGTGTGATATACTAGTTTTAATTGTGTGATATACTAGTTTTAATTGTGTGATATACTATCTCTCAATGAGTGATATACGATTTCTATTTGTGTGGTCCTGCATTTCTCTCAAGAAGATCAAATAATGATTTACAAAATTGTGAAAGGATAGTTTTTGTCAAAGCTTAATCTAAAATTACTAATGTGTGTTACTTGATCTATTTCTCGATAGTAATATTATAACTGATATAAGAAACAGATATCCCTCCCACACGATATTGCCTATTTCTGTGACGCAGCATTCATAGAGGAATGTGGATCTGGTTTCATTTTCAAGATGCCCTTATAGAAACATAAATATATAGAAATATAAAAAAGCAAAACATATTCACAAAACTATTTCATCCTATATTTATTTCCATTCAAATTACACATTACATGTGCAATATGAACTAGAATCAAACCTAATAACCTTGTATTTTTGTACAACTGTATGATTGTACATATCAAAATGAATATGTTATTTTTATCAAAATGAATAGATGTAGCTAAAGTGTAGTTATTATAAAAGAAATTCTCAATTGTCCTACTATCTGTTTATCTGTTACAGGGGTCTTTAAGAACCTGCCTTAGTTAATTACTGCCAATGTCATTTTTTCCAGTGAAATGATAATACGTACTTACCCTAAAACCCTTTACTAGCCACATAGCTGTCTTTATATGTGACATCTACATCTACATATAACCTTACAGCAGAACTAGCCACAGCCTACTGTGAGGATTATTGATCTTCAGCCTGGAATGGCAAAGCGCTCCAGCTATTTTAGTGATATGTATGCTATTCTTGTGAAGTAGACCTACATCTGTCAACTGACCATTACAGAGGTTACAGTGGTTCGTGGCACATTGACCCACTGAGAAATTTGCCATTTTACGCTTCTCAGAACTAAAAGTACACTGCGGTTTCTGCCCAGTAGGTTCAATTGTCACTACATTTTATCATGATTTGACAATGTAGGCATGAAAAACAAACATCTAAAATGTTTTGTACTTTTTTAGCTATTTATTCATTTTATTGACTTCAGTCTACAATAAAAACCCTGAATATTTTTAAAGGTTGATTTCACAAAAAAAAGTATGTAATCATGATGTTTCAAATAACATTATCAATTATACATGTATTATTGTGAAAGGTCCATTATCAACCAATATATTATATCTGTTGGACCTTTTAATATCCATATATATATTTAATAACACTGACAAACACAATGCGTTAGATATTCATATTTTCAGTGGACCTATCTGTATATAACATAATTTACAACATAAATTCCAACTTTAAATTCAACATTTTGCTATTTAACTTTGCCTTTCTCAAGCATCTAAATATATAAAGGGTTATAGTCAATTATTAAAGTGAGCAAGACTTAACTACTCAAAATTATATTTACTATAAGTGATTTTAAGTAGCAACTGCTTTTTATATAATAATTTTCAGGCATTAACAACCATGATTATTGTTAATGGTGCTTTAGCTGTTGGTAATAATGTGGCTTGGATGGGTAATTATTTGCCAACTTTAACATTTCATGGAGACACATCTCAATTATTAAGGTAGATTCAGTGGGCATAAAAGCTGTTCATAATAAAATGTTCATAATCTACAACGTCTTTACACTATCACCTCCATATTGGCAGGAATTGACATTTTTCATGCAGAAACCCTAATAGCATATTCATAAAGAATTAACAAGAAACAGTGATAAAATTCCACATTGATATAAAGAAAGTGTTTTGCTGGTACATATATCTCAAACCCTTAAATAACTAAACAAGCACTGTATATAATTTACATTGAGTAGTTGTAGTGTGAATAGTTATGTCCCCATGTTTAATACAATAACAATAGTTTATGAGACACTGAAATGTGGCAATAGTTTATGAAACACTAAAGTATACCACCAGTTTAAGAAACACTAAAGTATACCACCAGTTTATGAAACACTAAAGTATACCACCAGTTGATGAAACAATGAAGTATACCACCAGTTTATGAAACACTAAAGTATACCACCAGTTTATGAAACACTAAAGTATACCACCAGTTTATGAAACAATGAAGTATACCACCAGTTTATGAAACACTAAAGTATACCACCAGTTATGAAACACTAAAGTATACCAGTAGTTTATTTAACACTAAAGTATCAACAGTAAATTCATGATGTTCTTGGATATCACCATATTGGATTCATATCCTTTTGCATTGTTACGTAACACGTTGTAATTAAACTTTCTTTTTTAAATGAACTGGCTTTGTGTACTTCAAAGGTCTCATAGTAACTCATCATACATATAGAACTGAGTACATGTATATTATTTGTACTTTGTAACTTGAAATTCACTGATATATAACAACAATTTCTTTAAATCAGGACACCAAAAGTGACGTTCAGTGTATCAGTGAGTACATATTATTGCTGTGATAAAATGCGTACATATGAGTTTCACAACAATATCTCAACCTTCCCAGTGATGAGAGTACGAAGAAAACTTGTTCCCTAACCCACAAAAATGTCTGTAGTATTCACACTCTTTAAAAAATTCAGGGAATTTTGAAAATATTCATGTGTTCTGTCCTCTCCCACTAGAGATAGTAATCAATAAAGATACCAACAATTATATGTGGGTTTGTATTTTATAGGCTGCATGTATACATGTCATGACGTTAGATCACCAGACCATTGATAAGTGATAGCTCTTCTAACCTGAACTTAAATTACTGACAATCTCCAACCAGCATACTTTGTTATGCCTGACAAATCCTTGTGAATAAGGAGCCAGTTTCAAGCAGGGCTATCATCTCTGCATTCAGGTCATTTAAAGTTACCACTTTCAAATCATAACGTCACAAAGCATAGTTTGGTTGGGGGAACACAGCCATATCTATCCTGCCACTAGTGTTTCTCGTTTGTGGTGTCTCCACCGCCTGGCCTAGATTCATATTGATAGTAGGCCAAGCTTTTCCAAGGGTTAGCTAATGGAGGTTAAGTTATGCAAGCATTGACTGACAGCGAAATGCATGTAATGGATGACGGTTCCCTTCTTGTCATCCACAGTCAGAACCGGAGTGTCATTCAACCTGGGCGGTGACACTCTACCCCTTTTTCCATGACTGTCAAATTAGGCACACAAATAGATTAAAATTCACTTTAAACTGTCGCTAGGTTATCGTGACCTAATGCTGTAAAATAGTGTATGGTAAAAACTCTCGCTTATTGACCCCATCAGCATGTTTGTCGTAGTAAATGCTTTCAGGTCTCTGAGCTTGCTGTCGAATGACATATTCAAAATTAAAACGACATACAAACACTGAAATGATGAACTCAAAAATGTAAATTTGAAGTTTAAAAAAATATATTTGAAATTTGAAAAAAAGATGAAAAAGTATTGTACTCACCGGCTGTGGAATTATTTGTGGGGCTAGACATTTCATGAGGAGCACTCTGTGGAAAATAAGAAAGCAGCCATGAGTAAAAACAGTAACTCCTTCTCCCCCGCGGTCTCACATGCATGCAAAGAGCATGGCAGGTTGAAGGCAGAAGAAATCTATATGCATGTCGATTGCGTTAAACAGCTGCCTTGGAAAAAATGGTCACAGTGACCTGCAGTTATCTCCCTTTGTGGAAAAGCTTGAACAAGAACAGCAACATGCATGAGAATAAAACATGAATAAAACGAAGCTATGGAACATACCTCTACAAGACTGCGAGGAATAGGGTGAAAAATCCTCATGGGTGTCTATAGTTTGAAAAAAATGGAAAACAAGCCTCAAGTGTTTGACGGCAAAAATATTCCGAATCTGCCTCTTTCCCTCAGGCTTAGAGAAGCATTGTTCAACCACCATACATGATAAATGAAAAGTGTGCAGCTATTTTCAATCCTGTCGCTGTTTTTATGCTCTGCCTATATGAGTGTGCAGCCATGCAGGCGGGACTGCAGGTTAGATTTGAAAAAAATTCTCACAATGAAGAAATCAGCTGCTCCAAATACTAAAACCTGTTTTTGAACTGGGCATTACAGCACGGATGCAAATTTGCAAATTAATTATGCTCTCTGCGTCAGATGACAGTAAAATTTTCATATGACATATAGCTTTGCGTCGTTGCAACAAAAGCCCATGTTGCAGGTAGCACGGCCTGAGAGATGGATGCAAAGTTGGAAAAAGTTTAAAAATATGATTAACAATAGACTGGTGACTACTGGATATGTGTTTTTGTCCGATGGGGAAAGTCACACCTCGTTTATCAGTTACTCTGTTCCCTGTTCACAAAACACAAGGACAGAATTATGGTGGCATCTATAAAGAAATAAAAGTTCAAAATTAATATTTGTAGCATTTTAAATTCATCCTTCTGAAATGTTTAAAAATAAAAATTGTACAGCTATTTTCTTTCTTATGTTTACATTTATTGCATTAATTATCTGTTATCTAATTTAGCAATTAGTTAAGTCAGCAGCTGACCATAAAGTATGGAGTTCTAACATATAATCACTCACAAATACTATTTCAGTGAAATTGATGATAAACCTGCATACTAAATATACAGGAAAATCACATGCTGTAATGAATAACATGTTTTTCTTATCTAAAAAATCATCAAAGTTGATTAAAATACACGATAAATATTTGAATATAAATTGAACAGTTTTCAACAATGGCAACAGGTTATGGTGCCATATTTATTACTTCTGTCATGCACAAAACTGGATAAATACAGTGAAAACTACATCCTTCGTATCATGTACTTTCAATACCTCAGTTATTTCTGTGTGCTTTGTGTGATGTCTTCTTAGTCACCAATTTCATAGAACTGAAATCACTTTGTGTTTCATCCCTCATTCATACATTCATCCTTCCATCCATCCATCCATCCATCCACCTTTACTTTCTTTCATTCTTCCATTTATCAGTCTTTGCATCCATCCACACATTCACTCATCCCTTTCTTCATTCTTCATCCATCCATCCATCTCTTCATTTGTCCATTTCTTCATTTATCCTCCCAAACCCCATCATCTTTCCTTTTATTCATCCGACCTGACCACCCATCCGCCAACCCCATCGTCTTCCTTTTATTCATCCGACCTGACCACCCATCCGCCAACCCCATCGTCTTCCTTTTATTCATCCGACCTGACCACCCATCCGCCAACCCCATCGTCTTCCTTTTATTCATCTGACCTGACCACCCATCCAACATCGTCTTCCTTTTATTCATCTGACCTGACCACCCATCCACAACCCCATCGTCTTCCTTTTTATTCATCTGACCTGACCACCCATCCGCCAACCCCATCGTCTTCCTTTTATTCATCCGACCTGACCACCCATCCGCCAACCCCATCGTCTTCCTTTTATTCATCTGACCTGACCACCCATCCACAACCCCATTGTCTTTCCTTTTATTCATCCGACCTGACCACCCATCCGCCAACCCCATCGTCTTTCCTTTTATTCATCCGACCTGACCACCCATCCACAACCCCATCGTCTTTCCTTTTATTCATCTGACCTGACCACCCATCCACAACCCCATCGTCTTTCCTTTTTATTCATCTGACCTGACCACCCATCCACAACCCCATCGTCTTTCCTTTTATTCATCTGACCTGACCACCCATCCACAACCCCATCGTCTTTCCTTTTATTCATCCGACCTGACCACCCATCCGCCAACCCCATCGTCTTCCTTTTATTCATCCGACCTGACCACCCATCCGCCAACCCCATCGTCTTTCCTTTTATTCATCCGACCTGACCACCCATCCGCCAACCCCATCGTCTTCCTTTTATTCATCCGACCTGACCACCCATCCACAACCCCATCGTCTTTCCTTTTATTCATCCGACCTGACCACCCATCCACAACCCAAAGTAACATTCTTTCATCTATCCATCTTTCCTTTCAATCATCCTTCCATCCATTACTCACCTGCAATTAGAAACACTGACACTCAGGTAATCAATTACAAACCTACAATTAATGAAGTTTTTCAAAATATTTTCTGATTTCTCTCTCTAAGAAAGTGATCGTGACAAACTGGATTACAAACGAAAATCCTTGGTTGAGATTTATTCTATACCCTTTAAGTTTCATAAATTTGTCCACATTTAAAATATAGACTAAATCTGTTGAATTAGACAGGAACTATCAAATTCCAATATCATACTTTTTGGTCCCTGAACTGAACATGGCCTGTAAAGGTTTATCTACATTTCTGATGGTGTTTAGTTTCTCATGTATTTGTTGCAGCTAGACGGATGCGACAGTGACATCTTTCACTGCATCACTTCAGACTGCTTCAGATAGGTTTAACATTGTGGAGAAGAGTACAACTAGATCAATGGCAGATTTATTGGTCCAGGACAACCGGCAGCCATAGCATGCCATTCAAACTCTTGTAACATACTTCAATCCATAAGTTAAAGATTACCTAAATTATACAAGGCGAAAATGCCTCAGCTTCACACATCAGACAATTTACGATGGAAATGGCCATTGAACTTAGAAGCAAGCTCTTCTTCAGAGTGTTTTGTTCTTGAATGCCTCAAACAGTGATGTTCCAGGGATATACACAGGGACTCTGAGTATACAAATCTGGTCTAGCCTAGTGATTGATATTGTGAGCAAGTATCAACACTGGGTATGCTGTCACACAACAACCATGCACGGAGCTTGAACATGACTGATTGAGTCATATGTTACAACAGCAAAGGTTGTTGGGTACCAACTCCAATCTGACCACCCCACTTTCTTCAGTGTGTGAGTCTGTTCTAACACTGTTTTCACAGAAAAACAGTGTCTATGAACTAGTGATGAAAAATGATAAATATATTTTCTTTCTACCATGGTCAATGACTTTCATATAAAATAACTGTGCATTGTGTTTTAAGCCACTTTTCACAAAGTTCCAGAAACATTGTGGCATGTCAAAATTATTTGGTCACAAACATAGTCAGCTTTACCCAGGAGGAAAGTCACAAACATTGTCAGCTTTACCCAGGAGGAAAGCCACAAACATTGGCAGCTTTACCCAAGAGGAAAGTCACAAACATTGTCAGCTTTACCCAAGAGGAAAGTCACAAACATTGTCAGCTTTACCCAGGAGGAATGTCACAAACATTGTCAGCTTTACCCAGGAGGAAAGTCACAAACATTGTCAGCTTTACCCAGGAGGAAAGTCACAAACATTGTCAGCTTTACCCAGGAGGAAAGTCACAAACATTGTCAGCTTTACCCAGGAGGAAAGTCACAAACATTGTCAGCTTTACCCAGGAGGAAAGTCACAAACATTGTCAGCTTTACCCAGGAGGAAAGTCACAAACATTGTCATCTTTACCCAGGAGGAAAGTGATGCAGGTCTCAGATGGTTACCACTCATGAATCTCATGAACATAGCTATGGTGCTGACAAACCTAGAGACATACTTGTGTCAAACTAGGAACCAAACCCACAATCCACAATGATTCTGACATGCCCAAGCGATACAACTCTTGGTCACGCCAATCCACAGAGCATTGGTAGCACTACAACATTCACAAGGCTATGCTAAACTATTGAGTTACGACAAGTCCTAACATTATGAACACTTTGTGGATCAGGACACTGCACGGCTAATTTCAGTGACTTAAACAACTCGGTGGTGTTCGTTACAAAGATTACCGAATTATCTCAACAGGGTCTACAAGAAGGGACTTCACACAATGCTGAAAACCAAATTTGTATCTTTAGCAAGACAAGCAAGCACTTAAACAACTAGGCTACGAGGCGATGGATAAGTACTAGGTGCAGAATGGGAATCTTTATCATCCTTATTATATATACACAAACATGATTCTGCTTAGAGTGAGTGAATAAGTAAAGTTTTATGCCACTTTTTGCAATACTCCAGCAATATCACAGTGGTGGACACCAGAAATGGGATTCACACATTGTACCCGGGTGGAGAATGGAGCCCAGGTCTTCGGCATGACGAGTGAACGCTTTAACCATAATGCTATCCCACCCCCCCTCTGCTTAGAGAATTGTTGCAACTCAGACAAGCGGGCTAACTGTATCCTTGTATGTACTTCAGATAGAGTAAATAGAGACATGTCAACCTTAACTGTAAGTTCTTTTTGAGAAACCTAGATTTTATTTACCAAAAAGAAATACTGCCATAGTTTGCACATTCTTCACCTAGAATTCCTCGATCTGCAACGTGCATCAGAGTCAATGCACTCTAATGCTGATGACACATGCATCTCCATATGCACAAAATGTGCACATTGTTTCCTGAGCTGAATACAAAGTGGCCGTTATAGTTCAACAGCATACTTCTTTTTTAAATGCAAATTTTATCCAACCTAAAATGTAAACAGTTTCGCCACTGCTTTATTGGGTGACATGAGGTAAACACACTACACAATAATGGTAGATTCGCAAGCCAATGAAAACTTGTA